GTCTTCCTTTTGGGGCATTATTCCTAAGAGGTGATGAGATGTGTCCTGGTCCTGGGTCTGGCTGCCAGGGAGGCCCATGGGTGTTTCGGTCACCTGGAAAGCGCTCCCTGGGCTAGGCAGACCAGCAGGCTGGAGCCCAGTGCTCAGATAAGGCTTTTGTCTGTAGTGTCTCAATAGTGTGCTTCCCATTTTGGTCCCTGTTGCCAAAATATGGTCTCCAGCCAAGCCCAAAACTTAGCGAATGCAGAATTAAAACAAAACAAAACTCTGTGGTAGGTGATGTGAAACCAACATTTGGAGTCAGTACTAGCAACCTCAAAGGCTGAACTGGGTGGGAACAAGGGCCCAGTCCCCTCACTCTCATTCCCAATCCTCTCTCCCCAAACACCAGCACCCAAGCCAAGAGGACTGGAAGCCCCTTGGAGACAAAGCTTTCCCTGGGACGCTCCTCCTGGAGAGACAGAGCATCTTTTCTCTAACTGAGCCCCTTCCCTCCCCAGCCACGCTTAGCTCCTTGTGGCCCACTTGCCCACGATGACCACAGTGTGACCCTGGTCCTGGAATGTCCGGCACAATAGGGGTGGCAGGAGGAGCACTTTGCCTCTGTCAGCGGCTGATTGGTTACATGGTGCCCTACAAACACATTGTCAGCAGAATCAGCTGTTTCCAGCGTTTCCCCTCCTCAGCTTTACAATCACACACCAGCATGTAGCCAGGGGTTGTCATGGTATTGTCTCCCTTATGCATGCTTAATTGACAATTAAGTTGAGGCTTTGAATCAGCCCGGCTGCCGCTGATGAGCCTTCATCTTTCCAGTGAGTGTCACAGGGGCACCCTTTGTTTGCTCTTCTTGGGGGCCTGAAGTTACTGTAGCAGACTGAAGGCAGCCATTTATCTTCAGCCTAGAAGGCCTTTATCTGCCCCCTTCCCATTCCATCTCTCGCCAGCAGGAGCTGTCCCTGGTTATAGGTCCCGTGACAGCCCATTCTGAGGCCTTTGAGCAGACCCGGAGTGATGGCCTCTACCTCCATTCTGGAGCTGAATCAAGAGAAAGGCCCCTGAAAGGTCAGAGGGCAGGGCTGCCGCAAGGAACAGGACTGGTTGGAGACTGGTGCTCGTATTGATCAGTTCAGGGAGGAGGAGGAAGTTGGCGTGGGATGGAAGCTGGGCTAGCCTTGTGCAGGCCAGGAGATTCATTGCATGGTCTGTGGTGGCCTTCCTTACCGTACCCTTTGCTCCAGTCTGCAGCAAACTCAGCTGGCCGCGTCACAGAGGGAGGGGAAGGGCTAAAGGTCTTCATCTGCCTTTACTTCTTTACTCTCCTGACACATAATGCCCTTGTCACCTTTGGTAAAGAGTCTGTTTCCTGGAAAGAGACTGAGGCCCACAGAAAAGAAGAAACCTTTCCTGGGGAACCTTTGGATATCCTGGACCACAACCTCTTTACCTAAGAAAACCAAAAACCAAACTCACTGCTGTTGAGTCATATCTGACTCATAGGGACCCCTCCTTGGGTTTCCGAGGCTGTATCACTGCAGAAGTAGATTGCCCAACCTTCCTTCCGAGGAGTGGCTGGTGAGTTTGAACCGCCAGCCTTCTGGTTAGCAGTCAAATGCCTTAGGCACTACGCCACCAGAGCTCCCCTTTACCTAAATTGTTGTTGTTATGTGCTGTCAAGTTGGACTCGACTCATAGCGTCCCCTCTTTGGGTTTCCCAGGCAGTATCACTATGGAAGTAGATTGCCCTATCTTCCTTCTGAGGAGTGGCTGGTGGGTTTGAACTGCTGGCCTTCTGGTTAGCAGTCAAGTGCCGTAGGTGAACTATGCCACCAGAGCTTATTTCTGGACTGTTGCTCCTCTCTCCTTTCAAACTCCATTCCTCTTTCTCCAAGTTCAGTGGATTTGTCTCTACTGCCAGTCAGATCAAAGCCTGAAAAACAGAGAGAATCCTGCCTTGTGCCTTCCCCCTCTCCTCCCTCACCTCTACCCAAGTTGCCTGAAGGAATCTGACCCTGAGTCTTAGGAAGACCAAACTCTGGACCAGGTTACTTGTGTGGATGCTGCTTTTTTCCTGATGCAAAAATCTTCAGGACCCAAGGAAATCTCGAGTGCCCAGTGGCAAGGTTATGATTAAGTGTGAATGATTATAATGACTGGTGTTGGTTGAGGATTTACAGGTACCAAGCAGTGGGCTGAGCATCTGTACACATCATCTTATTTAATCCTCACAACTACCTTAGGAGGTAGAAACTATCTGTATTGTTATCTCCAGT